AAATCTGTCTGACCAAGCAGCAGCTCTCATTTACAGTCGTCTCGTTCAGCTCGGTATATTTCTCCTCTCAGTAGGGTTGTTTACAGCACACGCGATTTCCGGTTAACTTCTTAGCTTAGCCTCCTTCACAGCGACATACATTGCAGCCAACTGATCCAATCATTTTAAACTTCAGCAGAGGCCACGCCTCCAGCAAGAATCGCTTCTCTATAGCCGAGAGTCCAGACCCTCGATCCAATCATTTTAAACTTCAGCAGAGGCCACGCCTCCTGCAAGAATCGCTTCTCTTTAGCTGCGAGTCCAGACCCTTGTACGAAACAAAGTGAAGGACAAGGGTCTGGTTTTTACCAGGCTAGGTCCAGAGTCCTCAATGACCAAGACAAGACCGAGTACAAATGAGACCATTAAAAAGTGGTCTTGAGCACTACAACAATGACTAACAACAGTAGAGAAAAATAGAAAAAAATAATCATAACACTATAAAATCTTCAGCTAAACCATGCTAAGTCTAAGGTGAAAGCTTCCATTATGTTAAAATTTGGTCTCAGAAAAATCTCTAACCGACCTTCAATAAGATTTACGTCTAAAGGTGCACAAAATGTTTTTTTTTTATTATTGGCTTTGCTTTTCAACAAAGACAATCCCTGCCTGTCATTTAAAAAAGAAAAACACTGCTGTAATTTGGGCGGTTAAACCTTTGTGTGAACACTGGTTCATTTTATTCAGATTATAAAAAAATTCTTAAGAAGTGGTGCTCTTATTAGGAGCTAATTTTCCTCAACAAACCTTACTCTGATCAAAGGTTGTGTAAGATATTTTGTGTTAACTGAATTTTAGAAACACTTATTTTATCTATTGTAATCATTAAACAGTGGGAGAGTCAGTCAACACATCTCTATTTAGTTTTAGTCTTCATTTCTATTACTTCTTTGTTTACTATGACGTTATATTCGGAGTGTGACCAGGTTTTCTATAAACGTAAGAACACGTGATTCAGGGCTATTTTCTGAGTCTCCAGCGACAGGGTTTTCAGAAAAAGGGCCAGATCTGATTTATGTGTGGTAAAATCTGCATGTCTGTAAATAAATATTCAAGCCACAGAATTGAATTCTAACCTGAAGCTGTTTTTATCGTTGAGTATACTCATGAAGTTTTAATAGTTTAACCAGGAAAATTAACTGGATTTAAATAATGTGCCCACATGTTTAAACGTATTTTTATTTTTTTGTTGTTTTCTCTGAGGTTCCTCACACGGCGTTGCCTGAAGGAGTTCGATGGGTGGGCTGTCAGGGGTCGCAGCCCCACTTCAGACGTTATCCATGCGGGGTGTGGACTCTCTTTCATGTTCTCACAGTCCAGGCCAACGCCACCGGAGGCTCAGGTACACAATCTGCACTGTCGTGAATGAAAGGGACCACTTAAAGCCCACAAGCGCAGCAGTGGTCTAGTGGGAGGAGGGGTTAGTAAGACTTTGTAGACAAAATGTTTACCACACACAGAGATGCAGAACGAAATATCTCAATCAAGTTATGATTGTTTTTCTGTTCTTTTCTGCGTTTTGTCCGAACTGAAATGGAGCCTAATTGTGACTGTGTGAAAAAGGATTAAATTAGATTAGTGGAATGTGAGTGGTTAATAAAACAGGCAGATGACCAGAAGCCTCGTTCCTGACGGGGACCTTAATCTGCCCATACACACACATAAACACACAAATACACACACATATAGGTGCACACAGAGTTTAATCCCAAGGTTTACGAACCATCACATGACCTGCAGATGGACTGGCCAAAAGGGGTGTCCATCTGGACCCCCAAAGACCACCAGCTTAATGCCCACCCACACATACACACACTTGCTGCACATTAAAAACCATTAAATAACTTCATTACATCAACATGCAGGATGCAGTTCTAAAAGTCTGAATATAAGACATTATGTTATTCGAATAAAGATCTCTGTACACACACACACACACACACACACACACACACACACACACACACACACNCACACACACACACACACACACACACACACACACACACACACACACACACACACACACACACACACACTGCTGCTCACACTCCCACCTTCCGTACGGTTTTATCTAACGGATCTGCTAATCTGAGAACAAAAGCAAACGCCTGAGGGGGAAATATGTTTGCGGACTGTTGGTGTCCTGAGACAACAGCCTGGCCATCATTCACACAGAGTGTTAACTGCACTTAATCTTCAGATTGAGTTATCCCATATTCTCATAGATTATTCATCTCAATATGGCGTAAAGTAAACCCAGCACCCTGTGACTTCAGGCTCATGTAATTATGGGAAGACAAAAAGGTGCTGAATCTCTCTGCTGCTCAGTGTCACAGGTGGAGGTGCAGGTGATGGAGATTTACGCTAATGAAACCTGGGAATGTTTTATTCTTTTTTTTTCTCAGAAAATGCCATTTTTGAAAGCTAATTTGTAAATGAATTCTGTGCCTTGAGTCTCCGCTGCTGCTTGAAAATGCTAAAGCTAAGCTGTAAAAACAAGCAGAAGAGGACGAACAGATGCAAGAACCCCAAAATATTAGCTAAAATATGACAAAACAGAAGCTAAATGTGGCATCAGAAAACAAAAATAGTAAGGTTTTAAACAGAGCAATGTTTTAAAGGAAGTAAAGTGATCTCAAAGGAATTTTATTTTAAAGGGGACATGTTATGCAAATCCACTTTTTACCTTTTAAATACATTTTGTTGTGTACTTGACCTGTTCCTTGTTTCTATTTAAAGAAACAGCCTCAAAATGAGTTGATCTAAGACACACTTCAGAAAAGGGGTGAAAGAGGGTTTTGTGGAGTAACAATAAGGAGGACTTCAGACCAAAGCATTGCAGTTCCACTTTATATAGACCCCAACTGAAGGATTTACATGTGGAAAAAGAAGGATTTAAAAGCATTGTATGTCTCATTTTAAATAAAATAAAATATTTTGGAAAATACAAAATCAAAAGTCGGAGCACAGTATTCCTAACTGAGCTGACCATTTTTACAGAATGAATAAAATTGTACAAATAACGTGGATGCTGACTCAGCATTTACAGGTAACTCTTTCATTTACGGCACCCTTATTACCATATAATTACGTGGTAATTAGGGTACAATTTTGCTATGTAATTAATTGTCTGCAGTAATGTAGCACTTACCTGGTAGTGTATTACAATTCACTATGTAACACATAAATAAGTAGTAGGTAATTTGGACAGTTTTAAAGTTATATTTTATTGCAATTAACCAGTAACCCCAAAATTTAGTTGCATTGTTTTGGTTATAAATATAGTGTTGAGTTACTATTGAATAGTAATTTGATTGTAGTTACCCAATAAAGGTAGTTTTACTAACAAGTTTTTCATTTGTACCCTAATTACCATGTAATTACATGGTAATAAGGTAGTAATTACATTTACCATTTTTTTATTCCCTGTAATTACATGGTAAAAAGGGTACCGTAAAAGAAAGCGTTACCCATTTACAAAAGAGCCAACATACATCAAGGTTTTTAGGAAGTAAAGTGACAATTCTGTATTACAAAGTTTGTTTCTCACTTTGATTCAATTTGCTGCTGCTGCTCAGTACCGACTGCCCTCACGATTATCCCCCAGATCACCTGGAGGTTCTGAACGCCATGAGAAACTACATCCGTCACTTTTTTGGCTGCAGAGATTGTGCCGAGCACTTCGAGAACATGGCGAGGGAGGACCTGGCATCGGTGGACTCTCTGCAGTCAGCGATGACGTGGTTGTGGTTCAGACACAACCGAGTCAACAACAGAATAGCAGGTAGGAGTCAGCAACCATCACCAATCAAACTGCAAGCATTTTCATGATGTTCTGTACATTTACGGTTAAATATTAGATCTTTGTTTTCTAATCCTGCATTATTTCTTGTGGTAACAACCCTTTATCTGTTTAAATCAGTGCTACCAGCTTTGGGATTTTCAAGCGTTATGTTTCCATGCTTTATTAGCAAAAATAATAATAATACTTTAGTAGGAATTTTACCCAAACAAAATGTGATAACTCTAACTTGTCAGAAATGATAAAATTGTTGCTTCTCATCTGTTTTGTCATACGTTTCTGACTAAAACAAACTAGAAAATTAGAGGTGTTTCAAGTCTAATCCTTTAGTTTTTATTTTAAAAATATTTTCTGTAATGTAAAACAAAGATGTTTTACAAACCTTTTATATCATAAAATGTATTGATTGATTTTAGGAATTAACATTGTCCTAGATGTTGAAAAAGATGTTAGAGAAAAATCAGCAAAAAATAATAAACCAATAAGCCATTAAACTGAAAAAGTGTTCATCTTTTTATTTTAAAACTTTAAATATTTTTAAGTTTTCACCTGTTCTGACAAACATAATTAAAATTTCTTACCCTTGTTTACACATAATAATTTTTTTTCTTTTTTGATAACATAACCCAGTTGACAAAACGAAAAACTCCTAAATTATTGTGAATGAATTAGAAATAAGGCTGTTATTAAAGTAAAAACAAACAGTTTTCAGCTGAGTTTACTACTTTTTTGAAAAAAACTTTTGTTTTTCTACACATCTCTTCTGTTTTCTCACATCCACTTTACATGTTTTACCTTCCTCAGTTTGGGATCTGTCCATTTTGTTTTTTACTCAGTTTTTTATGTGACTAAATAAAAATGTTCTCCTCTTATCAGACACTGTCACCTCATCTTACATTTTCCTCACTCTTCTTTCTCTTCTTGACCCTTATTATAGTTGATAAAGTTTCCTCAGTCTGTCCTGCTTTAGTTTGTGCAGGAATGCAAATCTTTGTGTTCAACTGGTGGGTTTGTTTTCAGCGGGTTTTGGTAGATCATACACAGAAATAAAAAATCTTTAAATCCAAGCTTTTATTCAGATATAACCTGTTTGGTTTCATATTCTTTAAACATGCCAAACTTTGTCACATTAGAACCCTGAGTCCCTCCTCGTCTGTGTTCATGTGATTTTATTGAGCACAGGGCTGTCGTTAACAGCTCACTTTGTTAAATTGCTGTCTTTTGTTTGCATTTTGTTGACCACCACCCCCCTGCTCTGATCTCAGGCACAGCTTGTGTCCTGAACAGCAGAAGGAGACCCCATCTCTGCATGTGTCGGCGCTCCCCAGACACTTAAACGCCATCCAGCCCCCACTCCACCCCCATCCATCCGTCTTCCCTCTTCTTCATCTTTCCTGTCTTTCCTCTCACTCTCCCGTGGGACTCGTACCCTCCGCCTGACGAGCACTGGTGCAGAATAGCTCCCCCAGGAGCCAGCTCTCCTTGGCTATACACAAACTATTCCCAAGGTATTGCGTGACGGCAGGTGGCAAACACCCTGACACGAGCCACACACGCTCATTTAACCCCTCCAAAGAGACATGTGGGGGGGAGTCATGGTTTGGTGAATCAGAGGGTTTGGCTGTATTTGTTGCAGTGAGTGGCGGCGTCTTCCCCGAGGAAAGCGCACTCCATCCATTCATCCCCTCCTCTCCCGTTTGTCTAAAGAGGAGCTCTTTAGCAGGCCCTCCCTGCCCCTCCCTTTCAGAGCCAGCCATGCATGAAACATCAGCTATTTGTAAAGCAGCCGGACAATTAATTTAGCTGGCAACAAAGAGGCCCCAGGGCCCTCGGCCTGCTCGATCTGGCTGAATTAAGACTGGTGGCAGCTCGGTCCTGTTGCTGCTTGTCAACAGCTGAGACTGAGGCACATTTCTGCAGACAAACTAGCACTGCTGCAGCACACCCAGCTGCCATCACAGATAACAGATTTATACAGCGTTTTACTCTGGCTGTTTTCCATTCAGAAAGTATCAGCTTCACTTATATACCTCAAACACACCGACTCACTGAGAGAGTTGCACGTCTCCTACATGTAAACCAGCTAAGAACACACTGCAGTAATTCCACAGCAAATGAAGTATTTCAGACATTTGTGTTCCTTAAGGCAATGCAGCTTTATTTATACTGCACATTTTTACATCCAGGCAACTCAAAGTGCTTTACACTCAAACCAATTCAAAGAGGTATGAGGGGTACATGGGAGTTTTGTGGACTTGAAGAAAACATTTGATCATGTCCCCTGGGGAGTCCTGTGGGGGTACTCTGGGAGTATGGGGCACAGAGCCCTTTGATACAGGCTGATTGTACGACCGGTGTCATAGCCTGGTATGCATTGCTGTTAGTAATTCAAATTTGTTTCCAGTGAGGGTTGGACTCCGCCAAGGTTGCCCTTTGTTCATAACTTTTATGGACAGAGTTTCTAGGCACAGCCAAGGTGTTGAGGGGATCCATTTTGGTGATCTTAGGATCACATCTCTGCTTTTTGTGGATGAAGTGGTCCTGTTGGCTTCAACAGATCATGATCTCCTGCTCTCACTGGAGCGATTCGCAGCTGGGGTGAGGATCAGTGCCTCCAAATCCGAGACCATGGTCTTGAGCTGGAAAATGGTAGAATGCCTCCTCCGGATCCAGGAGGAGGTCCTGCCCCAAGTGGAAGAGTTTAAGTATCTCGGGGTCTTGTTCATGAATGAGGGAAGAATGGAGCGGGAGATCGACAGGCGGATTGGTGCTGTGTCTGCAGTGATGTACCAATGCAGACACATGATGCAGCTGTACCAATCTGTTGTGGTGAAGCGAGAGCTGAGCCAGAAGGTGATCTACGTTCCTACCCTCATCTATGGTCATGAGCTTTGGGTAGTGACCGAAAAAAACAAGATCGCAGATACAAACGACAAAAATGGGTTTCCTCCGCAGGGTGTCTGGGCTCTCCCTTAGAGATAGGGTGAGAAGCTCGATCATCCGGGAGGGACTCAGAGTAGAGCCGCTGCTCCTCCACGTCGACAGGAGCCAGTTGAGGAGACTCGGGCATCTGGTTAGGATGCCTCCTGGATGCCTCCCTGGTGAGTTGTTCCAGGCACGTCCCACTGGGACGAGGCCCAGAGGAAGACCCAGGTCACGCTGGAGGGACTATGTTTCTCGGCTAGCCTGGGAACACCTTGGGATTCCCCCGGATGAGCTGGCCCAGGAGAGGTGAGCTGGCTGGGGAGAGGGAAGTCTGGGTCTCTCTGCTTAGGCTGCTGTCCCCCCACAATGGTTGGATGGACAGATGAAGTTAAGAGGTGTACTAATTGCTTAAAGACCAAAACAGCAGTTTTTCTTGTGAGGAAAAAACATAACCTTTGCCCACATCTCTAAAACAGTTGTTTCACAATGATTAGAAAATGCGGACTACGTATCTCTTATAACTTTGTGATCATCCTAGCCCACCATTTTTTTTCTGTGTGACATAATGTTAAAGAAGCAAATAATTATAAAAATAGTACTGTGCTGTGAGTTTTAGTGCCTATGAGTTTTGTTCAGAAGTGGGGGATGAATGGAGCATGGCAGAAAGATCAGTGCAGTGTCTTTAGTATTGTGGAATCTGTACCAGTCTGCTGTTGTGAAGAGGGAGCTGAGCTGTTTGGCAAAGCTCTCTGTTTACCAGTTGGTCCACATTCCTACCCTCACCTATAGCCATTGGGTAGTGACAGAAAAAAAGTTTTCTTCCCAGATTAACTGGACTCTCCCTTAGAGACAAGGTAAAAGTTCAGTTATCTGGGAGAGACTCAGTTTAGAGCTGCTGCTCCTCTACGTCGAAAGGAGCTAGCTGAGGTGGTTTGGGCATTTTGGACTTGGGGGAGACCCTGGGGGATACACCAAAGAGACTATCTTCTGTCTCTCAGCTGGTTTTGGAAACATCTTGGAATCCTCCCAGAAAAGATGAAAGAGGTGTCTGCAGAAAGAGAGGTCTGGGCCTCCCTGCTCAAGTTGTTGCCCCCGCAACTCGATTCTGGAACTGGATGGATGGATGGATGGATGGGTGGATGGATGGATGGATGGATGGATGGATGGATGGATGGATGGACAGGTGGGTAGGCAAGTAGATAGGTACTAAAAAAGAAAGAAAGAGAAAGAAAGCAAAAGATGGGTAGATAGATGTAAGGAAAGTTGTGACATAATAAGCATTTACAGTACATCACTATGGCATGTAAACGTGGCAAGCTAAGCATGATAAATACAGTATAATGTTTCCATAATTTTGATCTTTTGTTGTGAAACTGATGTTTTTTTTATCTAGATGGTAAGTACAAGAATGCAAAGAGAAAATCCTTTTTAAAGGCTGATTCTGTAGTTTACGAAAAACAAAAATATTTTTATTTACATCTGCAGCCTTAATTTATAGGATTTATCTTTTATATATAATGCAAAGGAAAATGTGTTTTACTTACTTCTAGTTTAAATATACTGAACTTTTGGCAACTCTGAGCTTTGTCAGAGTTCTCTTTATCCTAAAATGTTCATGTCGGTAAGACGTGTTCACTAGGGATGTACCGTCATGAAAATTTTAGCCAATATTGATATCCGATATAATTATTGCTGTTATGGCCGATAACCAATATTTACCGATATTACACAAACACACAAATTATATTGTACATATAAGCACAAACACTCTTGAATCTTTTTTTGATACCGTAAATAAATGATCAGACCTCTGACATGGCTCCCTACTTCATTTATTCCTGGCTGCGCAGCATCAATATCACTATCTTGATGAAACAGATGCTGCTCAATCAACCATCTCCCCTCCCAGAACAGAAACACAAAGATAAAAAGTGATAAATCAATATCGGACGTTAATATCGGCCCAGTTTTACATATCGGACCGATACCGATATTCTAAAAAATGACTAATATCAGCCAATACTGATATTAATGCAGATATGTCGTGCATCCCTAGTGTTCACCTCTTTAAAAAATATGCACTTGGCTTGAGAAAGAAAAATTTGGGGTGTTGTAATCTTCCTCTCAAAGGACTGTTAAGACCAAAGAGAATAAAACAAAATATTCCCTGCCCTTGTTTTAAATGGCGCAAGAAATAATGACTGTTATTTTCCAACACTGATACAGTCATTAAAAAAAAGATTTTTGGCTCCGCATGTGAGTTGCACTCCCCGCAGTTATGATGGTGCACTACATTGTGTGCCTGTAATTGATCCCCACTTAGTGCTGAGAAAGCTAGTTTGACAAAACATAGTCATGATGAAACTGTTTGTTTGGAGGCAATGGCGTCTCGGCGACAGGCCTTCGTGACAATCTCAATATGGCTGGGTGTCTTTAAAGTCACCCTGGCCCCAAACATGTTGTCCTTATTAGAATAAAGAAGGAGATGTGTGTGTTTGTGTGCGTGTGTGGATCTGCCATGCACACACTCACCAGCACCCGTCCATCCAGGACACAATAAAATTGATGTATTCTTTATGTAAAGTACTGTATGCAGAGTACATACACACATGCATATGACTGAGATTAATCTTGAGCGGTGGGGAGAAGGAGTGGAAGGAGGTGGTGGTGAGGGGGTGTAAATTGACAGTGCTGTAAAGTGACAGACCTGCTGCTGCTTTGCTTTTTCTCTTTTTTTTACACACATACACACAATGGCCTGTCGCTGACAACAAGCAATTTATTACTAGATCTGTGTGTGTGTTGTTTATATTCATGTGTGTGCACTGGAGTCTTGTTTGCATGTGTGCAAACATGGTGAGTGATGAGACAGGGGTGAGTGTTGGTGGGGAGCAGCTACATAAAAGACAACATGTTAAAGGAGAAACTTTCTAATTCATTAGAAGAACAGCTTCCGTCTTGAGCTTCTGCTGCTCGTTGTCTTCAATTTGGAGATTAGGGCTTTGCTTTCAAACGCCTGCAGAGGGACGGGACAGGTGGTTCAGATGACAGAGGTCTGCTGCCCAGAAGACGATGACAACAACAAAAAGAAAACCAGGATTCCTGTGTGGAGAAGCTGTCCGCTTTGGACACATCTATTATCTCACCGTCCCTCCCACTGGGACACCTCAGAAGCCCATCGATCATTGTTAGACCCTGTCATCTGAACACACACTCGCACATAAAGTATCAATCTATAGATTACATGCACACAAAAGCAGACAGATGATTTACATATACACACTTGGACACATATATACACATATGCATATAAGCACTTAGTTTTTACGAGCGCAGTGATAAGATCAAATGGGTTCAGCACAGATTGCATCCAGTCCTCGGAGCACTTCCATCCAGTTGACGAGAAAAACAACAAACAAAGCATCAGCCGGGTTTTTGACCTTTTTATTTATTTTTGTTGATTTCATTATTGTTTTTTAAATTGAATAAGACTTGAGGAAAGCCATAATATTTAGGAAAGAAATACAGTTTTTAAGGTTTCTGGAGCTGTTGTAACTGGAATTCCTATTTGGCAGAACATCTTTTGTAGGACCAGAAAACGTTTTTGCGACAAATATTGTACATTATATTGTTTCACTTTTCTCTTTAGTTCATCTCATTTATTCTTAGAATTATTATATGCCCTAAATCAGGGGTGTCAAACTCATTTTCACCAAGTGCCATTTGACCATTATGGTGGCCCTCAATGGGCCAGTTATAATTAACTTCAATGTTTCTTGTTTAACTTCACGAAACATCACATTCTTTGTCTCATCGGTACAACTGAGCACCGCTAACAAACAATAACTGAGCTCTATGTGGTATTTCCTATATAGAAACAGTGTTTTAACACATCCTCTTATAAATAGTGAAAATGACTACAGGTACGACTGACTAAATGTGAAATAAATAATACAGAAATACTATTAAAAATCAAAGTAAGAGAGTTTTACTCACTGTTGAGTCGTGTGCAGCCAAAGAAATCCAAGTCAAATCTGTATGAAGTGTAAAAACTGGGCACAAATGTGAATATTGTAAGAAAAATACATACGTTAATGAAAATATCAGATTTAACTACGATTCACACAAGTGTTTATTTTTGTTTTATTTTGTTTTTATCCACCCATGAACCCCTTAATTTTTTTCCCCTAAGTTACCATATGGTTGATTTTTCTGCACCATAGAACTCATCTGTGTTCTACTCCACCAGGTGCACTGAGTGAGGACCCCCTCTTCCCAAAGATCCAGTGGCCATCACCAGAAATGTGTCCATCCTGTCACACGGTCAGTGAGAGCGGGGAGCACAAGTGGAAAAAGGAGCAGGTTCTGTCCTTCCTGCTGTCGTACTTTTCCTCCAGCAGCATCCTCACAGGTATTTCGTTGTTTTTTTACAACCTTGTTTTTTGTTGTTGTTTTTTCAGACTTATTTGGATTTGCATTTTTTTACATTGGTTAAACCCTTAACTAAAGGATGAGAATTTGGGGACTATGTGATTTATAGTGTATCATATTTTGTTTGTTGTCTGTGAAGAACTTGTGACAGAGGGTGTACCCTCTCTCACAACGACAACTGGAGATAGCGATTATGATTTTCAACAAACTGAATTGCAGCCATTTTTATAACCAGACATGTTTATTTTATTTTAACATCAGCATTTTTGTCCTCGTATCAAACTGTAACTGTCTGTTGTCTTAGTAGCAGAATATAACTTCAAAAGAAATTAAAATGTCACAAATCTTTTTGTGACCAAATGTTATCAAGTATCAAACTAAATTTGTCTTAAAGATGTAAATTACTGTTATACAATAACAATGAAATCAGTTCAATCCATTTTATGAATCGATTCACATTTTAAGCAGTTATAATTGATTATGTATCGATTCTTGATTAATTTTACATTCCTATAAAGAATTCTGCATGCATTCAAGATTTTGCAGATGTCTAATTGAGAGATGTCTCCTAATTGGCTTTAACAGTGATTTTTGTGTAATAGTTGTAAATGTAATGTATTTTATTTCCCTTTCCCGTCAGACTACCTTGAAGATGAAACCCAGATTCTGGAAAAACAAAAAGAAAAACATGCTCGTCAGCAGGAAGCTGCAGCAGCTCGGAAGCACAGGGAGAGAAAAGCCAGGGAGGCCTTGAACTCCGTGACACTTCCTCCATCGCCGTCACCTGCTGAAGAGGAGGAAGAGGAAGAAGAAGAAAGTCCACAGGATGAGGCAGTGGCATATGAGGAAGAGGAAGGTGAGGAGGGAGCACAAGCAGCCAGTGAGATGGAGGGTAAATCCTCTGAACCAACGTCTTGGGTCCAAACTGAAATGGACCTGAGCCGTGACCGACGGCAGGCTCCCAGGTTTTCAAGATTCGCGGGAATGAGATTTGGAAAGCCGGAGGGCAACCGTGGGCTTCCGAGCATCATCGGGATGAGGTTCAGAGAAAAGAGGGACGACATCGTGGATCTCGACTCGTTTGTCAACCAGCACTTCAAGGACAAAGCTCTGCAGCTGGCCGCTTCCAGTCGGGTTAAACAGCGTACCCTTCAGACGAAGGTGGAGCAGGAGCCCAGGCCCGGCTTCGGTCTCAGCATGGAGCTGGACACGGCGCTCGGCATGATGGGCCTGCAGCCGGTGGACGTGGACCTCGAGGGGAAAGGAAAACGACGGCAGAAACGAGGACTGGCGGGCCAGTACTTTAGAAGGGAAACAGAGATGACCCACAAAGGGCGCTGGATGTCTGCTTTAAGTATCGGCTTCTCAAATCTGGACATCAGCCTGTGTGTTGTTCTTTACTCTCTGTCCGCCATCTGCCTTGTACTTATGTACCACTTCTTCAAAAACCGCCTGAAGCGACGGCCGGTTAAAATAGCTTTAGCTTGATCCAAAATGTATGAGAAATTCACGGGAGCCCACTTATTTACACTGATTTTATGGCCACCATACAGTAATTGAAGTCATCATAAAGGGATGTGTTGCAATCAGCCAGACGGAGGAGGGAAAGAAGGGAAAATTATGATTGCTTTTTTTTTTCTTTTGAGGAAGTTATGTGAGCTCACATTTCCTCCACCCTTCAGTGTTTTTCAGGCTGCAGTTTAAACTCTGGAGAATCTGTGCACATATAGTAGATGTATATTTGTTCCTTTCTGTTTGGGTTTCATGCACCGATTAAAAATACTCACCTGTGTGTTAAAATTTTATTTCACTACTGATGGAAAATAAACCTCACTTTGATCCAAATACCTAAGTTTGTGGTTTTTGTAACAAAGTGTCTCAATTTTAATCAAAGTTTTTAAACATCTGTGTCATTTAAAATGAAGATTAGATTCAAAACAGGTGTGCATTAATTGCATATGACCGGGTTCTTCTTTAATGAAACGTTTCGTCTCTCCAAGAGACTTCTTCAGTCTGAGGAGTTTCAGGTGAACTCAGCCTAATAAGCACTGCCTCCACATGGTGGACAAACAGGTTGTTCACATGCAAAAGAGGGCCATCAGTCAAAGAGTAGGTTGTTAAGCTGTCAAAGTTCCAACCCTCACCTGTGGTCATGAGGTGTGAATCATGACCGAAAGAACAAGATCCTGGATACAAGCGGCGACTGGGCTCAGCCTTAAAGGGATCCATGATTAGTTGGAACATTGGACTTTATTTGATAAACATWYATTTTAAYTGTAAAATAAAGACTGTAAAAATACTGTAGGMTGTTYAGTTTTTATAATTCTTAAACTAAAMGTTTAAAAATATATTACAYGRACGGRGCCATTTTATTTACAYACAAAGCATTCTGGGWAAATGATGACATGSATAGGTCCTCGGTACGAGGCTACTAGCGAGCTATATCCACCCTGAAGGTTAATCTTCGACAATATCTGATGATCAACTCTTTTAAATGAAACCAGAGAGCGTTGACAGAGAGGAGAAAGTAGAAATGTCTCAGCCTGAAAATATGGATGGAGGACCTCAGTTTAGCTGGTTTGTTGCTCTAGCGCTGAGCCAATACATATAAGGCAATATAGCGTTGGTGCTAGCTCGAAGGCTAACAGGCTAAGCTGAGGTTCTTCCATGAAGCAGCTCTGTTGTCCTCCATCCATATTTTCAGTTCCAGGCTGAGTCATTTCTACCTTCTCCTCTCTGTCAACGCTCTCTGGTTTCATTTAAAAGAGTCGATCGTCAGATATTGTCCAAGATTAACCTTCAGGGTGGATATAGCTCGCTCGCACAGAGGACCTATCCACATCATCATTTACCCAGAATGCTTTGTGTGTAAATAAAATGGTTCCGTCAGTGTTAAAATATATTTTTAAAAATTATAAAAACTAAACAGCCTACAGTATTTTTACAGTCTTTATTTTACAGTTAAAATATATGTTTATCAAATGAAGTCTAATGTTACTAATCAGGATCCATTTAAGATAGGGTGAGGAGGTTGGAGTAGAGCTGCTGCTCTCCACACTGACAGGAATCAGTTTAGGTAGGTCGTCTTATATGGATGTCTCCTGAACGCCTCCCTTTAGAGGAACAGCTTATTGAACATTCTCATGGAAAAGCCTTTTATATACACAATCACACGGTTGTTCAGACTCTGTTATCTTTCAGATACCCTCTTCGTTGGGCTGTGGTTGCTACTAAATACATTTTGCATAAACGTGCACCATGTACTTTTCAGTGATGTTATAAATGTAATTATTATAGAAACATATTTTGTTTGCTTGCTTGTTGCTCAGCTTTGTTTTTTTCCTCTTTCTGCAGGCGTAGAGACAGACTTCAAGACTTGTTTTCTCTATGCTTCTTCCTCTCCTCTACTCTTATCTCCTTCTTTCCCTTTAAACCTTTTCCCCACCTTCCTCCCTTTCTTTTCTCCTTTCTTTTCCATCTCCATGTCCATTACACTGAAATAACCCCACAGCAATTTCTAATAAAGTTTTATATATTTATATCAAGTAGAACATCATGGTGAAAGCTGCAATGCTCTGCTTGTGAAAGTAAATCCTTTGGGCCTCACCTTGGCGCTCCTACAACTCTGAGTGCCACACTGCTGGACAGGACGCACACAAAAAAGCAAAAGGATGGCGAAGGCTTGAATAAGCCGAAGTTAAGTTTGATTTTGATGAACTTTAAATAATCTCAATTTTTTTATCATGTCTGAATCAGTCAAAAAATAAACATTTCTTGATAAATTTATATTATACATAGTCTGTTTTACTTATAATTTTATTGAAATGTGTTAAACCGTATCTCATCTGTGTCATCTTGACTCGTGAAATGTTTTCACTTGTTATTTTTCTTTTCTGAGCACATTTGGGAACAACAGGCTTCTGTTCATTGTTTTTGTTTTGACCAAGACTTATGGGGACATGAGACGAAGAAGGGTGTTGCTCGCAGATATGGGGTTGGGGAGCGGTTAAAACCATCCCAAGGTTGAAGGAAAAAGCCTGTTGCCATCTGCTGTCAAACGCAAGCTAAATCCTAACAATTTCATTGGGATTATAGCAAGTGAGTAATCCAGCTTTCCTTTAGGACTAGAGAGGAGAGATTACCCTTGAGGATTAGCTCCATGCACATAATAAACTTTATTAAAACGCAATCGGCTTTCACGGGGGGGCATCTTCCATCCTCGTACATGCTTGGAGGTGGGCTGTGCTGAAAGCGTGTAGAGGATAAATGAAAGGATGGACGCGTGGAAGACAAGGGTTTGATGTTGAGATTAAGCCCGTCTGAAGGACGAGTGATGCTTGATCTTCAGCTTTGTGCTCTGAAACGTGAATTCCCTCGACTTTTTGGCCTTTACCTCCTGCTTCCGACCTCCCTCACACAGAAACACTGATCTCTCTCGCTCCAGTCCATCTCTTTGTGGAAACAACAGCTTCAGTCTTTTCAGCTATTTTATATACAGTAAATTGTTTATACAGACAAGTGTATAAAGTCTGAGCAGCTTCTTCATTAAACTCTTTGCTCAGTGATGTGGTTTTCAGGATGGGTCTGAAAAACACTACAAGATTTTTGATCCCTTCATGTTTACCCCCCCCCCCCCAAAAAAAAAAAAAATCAATGTGTCTCCTTTTAACTTACTGCTTTCTCGCCACACATCTGATCTCCTAATCTGTTTAAATGGTTACCTGTGTGTGTGTGTGTGTGTGTGTGTGTGTGTGTGTGTGTGTGTGTGTGTGTGTGTG